GGGGCGGGGCTCATTGATGCAATAGCTTATCTCCTTGGTTTATCTGACTCGTCATTTTTATTATTATTATCTCATGTTATTGTCTTTTTTTTTATGTAGCCTTATTAGGCAAAACATGTTGTCATTTTGATGTAGCCTTATAAGGCAGAACTTTCTCCTCTCTGAGAATTATCAAAAAAAGAATTTTCTCTCCACAAAGTATTATTTCTGAGCTCGTCCCTGTTTTTGTTGAGTAGTGCGATCTCACCCAGGAGAATTTGGACTTTCCGGTCCTTTCTCCGTCTGATTTAGTCGGTAAACTGTTGTTTCCAGCTGGTGCTACACTAGAGAGAGAGGAATCGGCGACTGGTTCTCTTGTCGGAGAGAGATTTCACAGTGTAGTTCACCAGGTGGAGGCCCACAATGGTATCAGATTTTTGCCCGCGATGACTACTTGATTCGTAGCTCGACATCGGTGGCGTCTCGTCATCGTCACCGTGATTTGGTCAGATTTGTTCGTGCCAAGATCTGGTTCGCGTCATGGTGCTCGATGGTTTGCATCTCATTGCCACCGCCGTCTCGTCGTCGCGGTCGGAGCTGTTTGGGAGATGTCTGAGAAGAGAGAAAGGGAACTTGAGAGAGAGAGAGAGAAAGGGGGGTCAGAGGAGAAAACACAAACGGAGAAAAAAGACAAAAAAAAAGTGATTTCTCCTATCTGAGAATTATCAAAAAAAGAATTTTCTCTCCACAAAGTATTATTTCTGAGCTCGTCCCTATTTTTGTTGAGTAGTACGATCTCACCCAGGGGAATTTGGACTTTCCGGTCCTTTCTCCGTCTGATTTAGTCGGTAAACTATTGTTTCCAGCTGGTGCTACACTAGAGAGAGAGGAATCGGTGACTGGATCTCTTGTCGGAGAGAGATTTCACAGTGTAGTTCACTAGGTGGAGGCCCACAATGGTATCAGATTTTCGCCCCCGACGACTACTTGATTCGTAGCTCGACATCGGTGGCGTCTCGTCATTGTCACCGTGATTTGGTCGGATCTATTCGTGCCAAGATCTGGTTCGCGTCACGGTGCTCGATGGTTTGCATCTCATTGCCACCGTCGTCTCATCGTCGTTGTCGGAGTTGTTCGGGAGATGTCTGAGAAGAGAGAAAGGGAACTTGAGAGAGAGAGAGAGAAAGGGGGGTCAGAGGAGAAAACATAAACGGAGAAAAAATACCAAAAAAAAAAAAAGTGAAAAGCTAATGGGGTAAATTTGGAAAAGTAAATATTTAAAACCATATCTAATTCTAACTATGCTATAATTTAACATGTTTAAAAAAATATACTATTTACTTTAAATAGGGTCTTAAAATATGCTCTATGCTGCATTTTCCCTTTAATTTTTCACTAATAATCTACTTCCACGCAATTTCTTATACTATAATTAGTTAAGACGAATTAATGCATCGATTCCTAATTGAGACTAATTAACATAAAATTGGATTTGCAAGAATCCTGTGGATGTCTCTAAGCGACAAGTACTGATCAATCTTAAGATACGTGGATGAGAAATAAAGTCGGTTTATATTTCCCTCCACAATGCGTCATTCAAATATTGGTTCATTCTTTTCTTTTCTTTTTTTGTTTAATTTCCTTGAAAATGTCGTCTATATTACTCTAGATTTTTCATGTTACACATCTGGTCTTAAATTTCTGTCAGCACATTTACAGGAATCAACAGAGTGCTATACAATACAATGCAGAATTGTAGAAAGGGACTGAACAAAATATTGTTGTGATCAATATAGATGGTGACGATATTTGACAATTATTCATCGTTCCCCTTGTAACTATTGTGGGGCTCAGGTATTAATTGGAGATGTAACATGGAGAAAGGAACCTGCAAAAACAGATATTAAAAAACTTATGAGCTTAATCTGACTTGAAATTTACTTCCATGATCCATATATGAGACAGTTATATATCATGAAGTCACAAATCAGCAGCGTTAATTAAGGTTATAATAAGAACTCATGACAGAATCGATTCCTATGTCACTTTATTTATGTCATAATAATATCATGACACATTTAACTTTTTTCCCACTACAATTTAATTAAGGGTCCGTTTAGTTCATAGATTTAAGACAGTGATTTTAGTTTTAAATTTAAATTTTGTGAGAGAATCCATTAGCGAGATAATTTTTATTCAATTTTTTTTTGTGATAAAGGAGAATCAGAATTATGATTTACATTAGGAAACTTGCTCCGGTGTTCCTCCTTTTTAAGAAAATTGGTGTTTTCTACTTTTCAATCGTCACATATGTATCAGAATCTGTTTATTCTGTATATTTTTTTAATCTGGTGTGATTTTGATTAGATTTAACAGCTAAAAAGATAGAGAACACTAATATTTCTAAAAGGAAAGAAATACCGGAGAAACTCCTTTAAATCAGTTAACCAAATGGACCTAAAGAGGCGTTTGGTATGAGGTAATCTCAGGGATAAAAATGAAAATCTTTTAAATTCTCATATTTAATACGATTATTAGATATTTTTAAAACCTAAAAAAGTGAATCTCCTGAGTTTTACGTTACCACATTTAGAGTTTTCATTAAGTACCCAATGTTAAAACAAATAAACAATCCCTTTTGCGTGTGTGGTTTTTTAGAGAGAGATTGAAATTTAACTTTTTTTGGTGGTATTTAAATCAAACTTTTTTGATTTAATAATAAGTAAATATAAAGCATGATGGAAATCCAACTCAGCAACGTAACACCCACGCACATGTTAACAGCAGAGTCCATATACGGTTGCTCGATCAGTTAAAAACTGTTATGGAAAAGGACGAAATACTTTCTTTGGATCCACTAGTACACGTAGTTGTGTCACAATCCTCTCTATAAATACAAGGAAACATACACACGCAACAACAACCACCATCAAACTGTTTTCTACTTCTACGTGAAGCTCTCAAGCGATCGATCTGGCATGAAGCCAATGAAGTTCTTCAATTTCTCGGAATTGGGTTCCTGTTGCCGGCCACAAGGCACGCCGGCGCCGGAGCCGGAGGAGAGTGGAAGCCACGCGAGTAGTGGCCGCACCCCGACTTCGAATTACCGCAGCATAAGGTGTCCGGCGGGCACGAAAACGGAGTCGGCGGCACACTGGCGGCCGGCGCTTCCGGCGATATCGGAAGATGCGGTTGTTTCTCAGCTCGTGGAGAGTAAGAGTAAACAGATGGTTCAGAAGAAATCGCCCACCAAAAGTGGTTCCATGGCTAAGGATCAAAGATACAGTAGTACTAACAGTTTTAAAGAGTCCAGGTAATTATATTCTTTGTTTGCAACTTAACTTTCTCAATTGTTAATTTTGTTTTTTTGGTTCTTTTGATGTTTCTTTAATGATTGGTGAATTGGAAAACTAGTTTTAGTTTTTGGTTTATGGAGGACTAAAAGTGTAAATGAGTTTGTCTCTTTTTTGCAACCAAATTCTTGAAAAATCATGTAAAGAAAAAAAAAAGCAAAAAAATGAAAGTGTTTTTTTTTTTTTTTGTATGTTTTCATCTCCTTGTGAGTTGTCACTTTATGGTTGCTTGTTAATTTCATATTTTTTTCTGCTAATTTTTTTGAATAATTTGGCTGAGTTTCTCTAGTTATTACAGGAAAAACTCTGTACCCGCGGCGGTGGTCATCCCAGCTTTCTCACCCACACCTTTCGTGTTCTGATTTATATGTGGCTGTAATTTTTTTTATCAGTGTCTTGTATTTGATTCATCTCGTATTATATATATATATATATATGCATAAAAGCAAAGTGAACCTAAATTAAAAAGAAAGTTTATTCCTTGTAAATTTACTTGTTTATCCCATAGATAGTTTATTCATCTCGTATTTTTCAAGTTGATTCATCTCATAGAAAGTTTATCCCAGAATTACTCAAAAAACAAAAATATATATATATATGGGCTAATTTAAATTCAAGTTTTCTTCTTTCCAACTTTTTAATTTAGCTCACAAGGAAAGTTTATTCCTGTTTTCTTATGAATTTTTCATCAACAGTTGCAAATTGCATTCTTTAAAAGTAGTTGACACGCAACTATTGCCTTTGCTTTTAGTCATCCAAAACACGACTTAGACGTTATTGCACAAACCAATGTTTACCAATACGGTTTTAAAAGCCCAATATTGCTGGATTATATATGCTGTGTTAAATATATTGAGTCGCTAAATCCACAGAGGATTCACAAATCACAAAAGCTTGACGAAGTTCACGATCACTCGGGAGAATAACAGTACGAAAATAGAAAACATTATTAGAAAAAAAAATAGTGATTGTGTCTTTGGATCAGAGACCCGTTACTTTATTCCTGGAAAGCATCAGTTGAAGCATGTTTTAGCTCTTCACTATGGAATTTGGTCTCGGCCCCTCTTGTGTTTGTTTGATCAATGAAGGGTTATGATTCCATTCAATAAGTTACGGCCAGGGGGAGCCACACATGGACGAGGGTGAGCGGCCACCGTACTCTAAACATAATTATTTGTCCCACCTCATTAGTTTAATTACACTCTGTTTCTATGATTAATTCTTTTGATGCCGTCACCTGGTTATGGCAAAAAACATAAGCGTGGAAAAATTAAAAGTTGCAGTATTACTCAATGAAAACATCAATAAAAAAAGTTCCACAATAAAATTGATCATATCAGAGCCGCAACCTGTTTCAGGGACTACATATCTAACTTAGCGTCGGACTAAGGATGGCAACATAGCATATTTGGGGCGGGTGGTCAGCCAACTTGCTCCGCGAATAGAAACATTTACCGTACCATCTTTATGAACTTGCATAAGTTGACGGTTTATAAGACGGATTTTCGCGTCACAGATTCGAGTTATTTACCGTGCTCTATTTATCTGATTAGTTATTTTTATAATTATAAAATAAATAATTAACCATACAAAACATTAAGTTAAAATAAAAGAAAGGTAGCTTTAAATTTTCATTATATTATATAATAGATTATTATCTAATTTAAGAATAAGATATAATTAAATGGGTGGGCAAACGGAGAATAGGGCCAGGGATCTCTAAACCTGACTCTACTGCGTGACCCGTGACAGGTTAAAATTTATAATCCGTTTACAATCTGAATACGTTTAAAGTGGATTTTTTCTAGGGCTGACAATTCGGGTAGTGACACGACTCGAAACCCGCACGAAATTAACGGGTTTGGGTTTATCATAAATAGGTCCGGGTCAAAATCAGGTCGAACCCGTAAAACACGATTAAATAACGTGTCATTTTCATGTTGACCCGCTAACCCGCAATTGACCAGCCATAACCCATTTATTAAACGTGTCATATTTGGGTAACATGAATACACAACCCGTTGATTACCGTTTATTACCCATTTTATAAAAAGTTCAAAAATAAGTTTAGAAATATGTTAACACGACTCACTTATCACCTATTTTATAAACAGGTTCAAAAATAGGTTCAGAAATAGGTTAACAGAACCCATTTATCACCGATTTTATAAACGGGTTGACAGGTAATCAACGGGTTGACACGACACGTTTATGACTTGTTTAATAAACGGGTTATTCGTGTCATGTCATGTCAACCCGTCAATATACAGGCTGTGTTTGAGTTTTGTATTTTGATACGATTAATAAACGAGTCGTATTCGTGTCAGGCCTATTCGTGTCAACTGAGGGGGTTAACAAGACACGAACACGACCCGCCAACACGAATTATCACCCCTAATTTTTCCCACTCGTTAGCAAGTCCCCACTAATAAATTAGTTAACAGGTAAAATCGCCGTCCTTAAATGAGACCAATAAAAAATATTATTATTAAGAATAACCGTCCTAACTAATTTTAATGTTTTAAAAAAGTGAAGGTATTGCATCTAATAAGTCATAACAAGTACCACTGTAAGGTACCACGAGAGTCGTGGTGTAGTAGTAAAGACGCTTTTATTTGGTCTCCTTTGCCCATCCTCTTAAGGTTCGATACTCTGTACCCGTGCTTGTTGCTCTGCCTCTTGTGAGAAATTAACTGGGTCTCTGCGGGCCCCACATGATGGAGGGGAGTGAAAACTGGTTAGATGGTCATTGAGAGACTAATTCAGACATTTTTCACATATTCAATTGTCCCCGAAATTGCTTCTATAGCTGAAGGGGCTAGAGAACATGAAGTGTACCACCATATCCTTTTTTTTGAGTAACAAAAAATAAAGTACCACTATAAGGTTTCAGTTAAAAAAAAAAAAAAAGAATTTGACTTAAAAAGAAAAAGACATTAACAACCTTAAAAAAAAAAAGAAAAAAAGGAATGACACGTTAAACAAAAACTTACCTCATGTTTGGTTTAACTTTTTGAACCAAACAATTAAATTTGAATTGTAAAGGTTCAAATTAAGGGAGATTCTCTGATACGCCTAACGTATCAGTAGGTTATGTTTTTTTAACCGCTAAATCTGTATATTTTTTAACTTTTACATGATTTTATGCAGATCTAACAGACAACAAACTTACCTACCGGTATGTTGACGTACCGAAAAAAGTCCCTCAAATTGATATTTTGTTTAGAAACAAAGAGGGACCATTCAAACCATCAGCTACAAATTCAAATAGTTGATTTTGGAATTCATATCCTCATAAAAGTCACAATCCGGATTGTTAACAACAGTTCAAACACAATAGTTTTTTTTGTTTTTGCTCTCTCTTCAACTTTAAACTTAAAAATGTTTAACTTTTTCGTTTCAACTCCAATGAAGATGATTCTTTTTCCTATATGTTTATATTAAGAGAGTAACAAATTATCATCCATATTGCATATTTAAATATGTTGTTTACAATGGGGTTTTATAACATATATTGCAAAACTCTAATGACAATTACCTAAACACAATTCAAATTTTATTGCCAATTCAAGTTACAATTTATTTACACATCTAAACACCATTTCGAATCGTAATTTAAATCACCACAATTTAAATTGTACAATTTAAATCAAATTACTACAGTTCAAACAGTGAACCGTATATACTTCTGCCAATTCAGACACATCTTTTAATGAGATTCACATATTATAACAAGCTAAGCGTCCGTTTGTTTCCTGTATTCATCCATGATTCTGAATCATGATTCATGATTCTCTACAGTATTTTCTCTCACAAAAAATACACATAAAATGAGAATAATTCTGAACCATGATTCTGAATACACAAACCAAACGAACACTAAATCAAGACAAGTTCGAGAGGCAATTATCAAAATTATAATAATAAAAGCACATCACATCTACGCGCATTTTCTGAGAGTGGAATGCACGTACTATAGCAAGCTAAGAACTAAAGTACCAAACAATGCTTGCTCTAACTCCGTTGGTAGCTCCGAATTTCCATTTGGAGACATCTCCAACGTTGCGGGAAGATGAGTAAAAACACCCACTAGTTTGAGGATATTAGATTTGGCGGCGCTCCTTGTATGTAGCTTTGTCGGTCTAACCTTTCCTCTATTTCATGTTTGGATTATGTTCATGTTTTGGCCCAGCCGAAGTTGTGTTGGGAAGAATCACTCATTCACTTGCCAATTGCCAATTAGAATGCCTTTTCTTGTAAAAATAATTAAAAAAAAAATGCTGTGGTGAAATGGTTCCTGAAAAAAAAAAAAAATGCTTCCTATAAGTTTCTAGTTTCGTGCAAACAAAAGCTACAACGGAAAGAAGACAAAATCGCTGCGTTTGTTTAACTTATATGGCTATTGATTCATTGCACTCTTTCTGAGAGTTGAATTAACGAGATTCATTATCTCTCTCTCTCTCAAACTATATCAGGTTGATTTAAAGTTGTTAATGACGAAGTGGCCTAACTTCATAACATAGCCTTGGATTCACAAATTTAAATTTAAGTGGAAGCAATAAGGAACAGTTCAAGTTCTTTAATCATTTCTCGCTTCCACTTAACTGTTTTATATTACATACCAATTTACAATGGTAACTTGGTTAGATTTTTATGTATTTTTTCAAGAAAAAAAAAAAAACCTCCATTTAGGATAGGGGTATTAAAAAATATCCGATAAACCGCCGAAACTGTCTTATACAATAAAACCGAACTAAATTGTTGATTAATTTTAAATTATTGCGTGATTTGAATTGTATTCTACACTAATTCTAACAGACGATTTAGTGGTTTTGACTTCTTAAACCGTCCAAAAAAATCTATACAATTTTCTTATTCTTAAAATACTTTTCTATGTATATTATTTTCTTTTGATCACAAAAAAAAGTGTAAAATACACCATATCACATTTAATAACTAAAACATTCTCCTTTTATTAGTTAAGTATTTAAGAGTACATAATGAACCTTAAACCTCCTCCCATGTTCTCCCCTCTCCTATTCTCACCTAAAAAATATTGAAAACTTTTTTAGTCATAGCGTAAATTGTTTATACCAAATTGTTTAAGCCGTTTAAGAGTGATTTAGTTTTTATAAAAAATGTTAAAACGGGGAAAGAATTTCATTTTTTGACTTGGTTATTGATTTTAAGAAATAGAAAACCGTCAAAATTGTCCCTAAACACTCTTGATTCGGGATTCACGATATGAACAACAAAAAAGACAACAAATAACCATCGATGGTCGTGGTGTAGTGATAAGGACGTCTTTGTTAGGTCTCCTTTGCTTATCCTCTCATTCGATACTCCGCACTCGCACGTTGTTGCCCTGCCCTTTGTGAGAAATTAAGTAGGCCTCTGCGAGTTTCACAAGATAAAAGGAAGTGAAAACTAGTTGAATAATCAATAAATGACTAGTTTATACCCTTTTTACATACTCAATAATTTTTAAAATTATTTTTATAATTAAAAGGATTAACGGATATAAAGTACACCATCATATTTTTTTTCAGTAGAAAAAAAAAAAAAAAAAGACAACCAATAAAAGTTGATTTTGGACGTCCCTCTAATGATGGGCTAATGCATTGGGCTTGTATTTTATCCTATTAAGTTTTAGGCATCTATGATAGAATCCAATCATAATAAAGATACTCCAAAATTCAACAATGTGAAAAAGGGAACCGAAATGCTGACATAGTCCCAGCCCATCACGTTGACCTTGGGAGTCCCTCCTCACTCCCAACTCCTAAGCTCGCTCCCTCCTAAAGCATTACACTACAAAAACTTGAGCGCCAAAACCACACCACACCCCCCCTTCTATACCCAAGATTACATCCTACTCACCTAAATGACCATCTCACCCTTCCCCGTCCGTTAAAGATTCACCTGATATGTATACGTGGTGGATGTATCTTTTGATTCGAATTAATAGGGGGCAAAAAAAAAAATCATGAATCACGACTTATGCTTGGTCAGCATGCTTATAGAAAAATTGTCACTTTACTTGCTTTGACGATAAAATTAATTGCAAGTTGAAGCAAGAGAGGAAGTAAGGTACAAATCCGTAGCCAATAAAATAAAAAAAAATGTTAACGTCACTATTATTATTATTATTTTTGTTATTTTCTGAATTAACTGTTTGATACGTGAACTTCACTCTCTTATTTTTTATTAAAATTAAAATGATAATATATAATGTTAGTACAGTTTACATGTTAAACAATAAATACATAAAATGATAAAAAGAGTGAAAAAAAAATGATCATAGCATTTTTTATAAAATAATAGATGAATGGATAATGTAATTAAAACGGAGTTAAAATTATTGTAAAAATATGTAATATTTATTACTATTGAAATAAAATTTCTTTATTTAAAATATCTGCTGATCTTAACTTTGTTGTGTCTACGTGTATAATAAGAATTCCAACAATATCATGCCAAATATATTTTTTTTGTAAAAGAAAGAAAATTTCATTGGAAATTTTCTCACCAAAAAACAAAAAATAAAATAAGATAATTACTTACCGTACAACTCACATAATATCTAATGACAATTTGATGTGACAATAATAAAATAAAATCAAAACGAGTACTATTCATATAATAAAAATTATAATTGTGATTTGTTAATTTTTTGATGCGGTGAATTATAGTATCATGTTTTTATGTGCAAACCATCCCCAATCAAAAAAAGAAAAAAAAATTCTTATGTCTAAGAAAAATAAAATACTCTTAAAATTAGTGGACGTTTGGTTCATGTATTCAGAATCATAATTTAAAATTATTCTTATTTTATATATTTTTTTTATAAGAAAAAAATACTATAAATAATCATGAATTATGATTCAAAATTAAAAATGAATATAAGAAATAAACATCCTCTTAAATACTACGGACCACGCTGTAAAAAAAGAAAAAAAAAAGAAAAAGAAAAAGAAGATACTAATGATCCCCCTCTATCTCTATGTAATCCACATGGGCAAATTGCGACTATCCCGCCATGTCGAGTCGATACGGAAGTCAACTCCACGTAGCAGATTTTTTGTTGACTATACGTGCCCGTTGCCCTTTGCCCGTTGCCCTATGCCCGTTGCCCTACCGTACCTCCTTACAAGCTGGAGCTATTGCCACACGACTTAAGGGCATTTCCGTCCTTTCAACTGTTTACCATAGGTCTCCGTGTCCATGACTGAAAACCCAGGCCCAAAGGGCAAAGATAGGGAGAAAAAAAAAGAAAAAAAAAAAGAAAAAAACGAAGGTTTCGTCTTTCGGACCGGGAAGAGAAACGAGAGCGAAACACAAAGATATAGCGCAGAGAGAGAGCGAAAGAGAGAGAGAGAAGAAAATAGCTCAGAGAGAGTGGGACAGAGAGATTTTCCGAGGAGGAATTTCGATTTTCCGCTGTTGATTCCTCGGGTTTTCTTGATCTGTTCTCCGAGGAGTCGTTTTCTCTTCACATGCTCTTCGATTCGAAGCTGGATTTTCTCGCCGATCTCTCCATTTAGCTCCTCAATTTTCTCTGTAAATCTCTCTCTTTCTTGGAGTTTCGTTCAATTTCGTTGATTTCTCACCGGTGTGGTTTTCTGATTCACTCATCTTCTCGAATAGGGAAGTTTTGTGATTGTTCGCGTATGGAATAGTGTGTTATTTTTGTTTTTGTTTATTCGTCGAAACCCTACATTTGGTGGGTGCTGACATTTTTGAATTTGTGAAATTTAGGGTTTTGGATTGGAGCCAAGGATCCTGGAGGGAAAGAGAATCGAGAGAAATCTTGCAGCATGAGCATCGATAGCCCCGGAGGAGGGGAGAGTTAGGGTTCCGAAATTCGGCGAAAAGGATTGTGATTTCCATGGGTGATGGAGGCGTCGCATGCATGTCCTTGCAGCATAACATCATGGAGAGGTTTCCAATTCCGGAGAAGACTGCGGTTTTCGGAGGCAAGAACGCTAACAATGGCTTTGGTTCCAAGTCGTCGCTCAAATTGGCTGACTCAGAGAGAAAGAAGAAGAAGAAGATGAAGCCCAAGAAACAGGATAACGCGAGGAACGGCGAGCCCGAGAAAAGCGAACTGGGTTTGGCTAGAGGTGGGAAGAGTGGCAGCGTTAAGGAAGTTGAGAACGGTGAAAGCCAGGAGAAGAAGGACGAGGTTGAGGAGGGTGAATTGAGGACTTTGAAGTGGCCCAAGGGGGAAGTGGAGAATGGGGAATTTGTTCCGGAGAGGTACCGCAGAAGCGAAACTGAGAAGGGCGAGATAGTAGATGAGAAGTGGAGAAAAAGCGAGGTGGAGGCGGGAGAATTTGTTTCGGGGAAATGGCGAAGAGGCGAAGTAGAGAAAGGGGAGATATTTTCAGAGAGAGGCAGAAAAGGTGACGCTGAGTTCGCGCCTTGGAGAGCGCCCAGGGATGAAATTGAGAAAGGTGAGTTCATTCCTGATAGATGGCAGAGAAATGAAGTGTCCAGAGATGACTACGGTTATGGCAAAATTCACAGGTACGATACAGGTAAGAACAAGGTATGGAAATTCGAGCGTGAGCGCACCCCACCTTCTGGGAAGTATTCCAATTTGAGTGATGATGCCTTTAGAAGGAAGGAATTCAATAGAAGTGGGAATCAGCAAGGAAAGACTACTCCCAGGTGGGAATTTGGGCAGGAGAGGAATGTAAGGATCAGCTCGAAGATTGTCGACGAGGAAGGTTTGTACAAGAAGGAATGCAGTAACGGTAAGAACCACGGCAAAGAGTACTCTTCTGGCCCTGGGAACAGGTTGAAGCGGTATGGCATTGAGCCGGATATTAATGAACGCAAGCATTATGGAGATTATGGGGATTATGCTGGTCTGAAAAGTCGGAGACTTTCTGATGACAGTGGTCGCCCTGTCCATGCAGAACACTATTCACGCCACTCTGTGGAGAGGTCGTATAGGAATTCTTCTTCTTCTTCTTCTTCCAGATTACCTCCGACAGATAAGTACTCGGGTCGGCACTATGACTCAACTATGTCTAATAGAGCTGTTTATGATCGGCACGGGCGAAGTCCAGTTCATTTGGAACGTTCCCCACGTGAGAGGAACCGGTATTATGATCACAGAGACAAGAGTCCAGTACGTCGAGAGAGATCACCACATGTTCGTGAGAGATCTCCATATGATCGGAGTCGTCAGTATGATCACAAGAACCGCAGTCAGTCCCCACAAGATCGCACTCGACACCATGACCGCAGGGATCGAACTCCAAACTATGTGGAGCGGTCCCCACATGACCGGAGTAGGCCCAATAACCACCGAGAAGTAGGCCGGAAAAGTGGGCCAAGTGAACAGCGTAACTCCCAGCATGGCAATAAAGTGCAAGAAGATAAACTGGTCCAGAGGGAACCTGTTGTGAACGACTCACATTCTTCAGCGAAGGAATCTCAAGAGAAAAGTGATGTTCTCAATGTTAGTGGATCCGTAGAAACAAATGCGAACTGCGAGTCTCACAAAGAGGAGTCACAAAGTCCAAGTATTAACTGCAAAGGAACGTCTCATACAGGTGGAGCTGCTCCAGAAGAGCTGCCTTCTATGGAGGAAGACATGGACATATGTGACACACCTCCACATGTCTCGATCGTTTCTGACTTATCCACTGGGAAATGGTTTTACCTTGATTATTACGGTGTTGAACACGGGCCTTCAAAGTTATGTGACCTTAAGGCACTTGTGGAAGAAGGGACTCTGATGTCTGATCACATGGTGAAACATGTAGATAGCGATAGGTGGATGACGGTTGAAAATGCTGTATCTCCGTTAGTTACTGTGAATTTCCCGTCTATTATGCCGGATTCTATAACCCAGTTGGTGAGTCCTCCAGAAGCTCCTGGTAATTTGTTAATGGAAACTGGAGATATTGGGCAGTATGGTAGTCAGGCCAACGAGGAAAAAGCATGCACTTCATTGCAGCCAGTTTTCTTGCCAGATGGTAGGGTAGCAGTTTCTGAGCTTCTAGAAGATCTCCGCATTGATGAAAGGATTGGGTCTCTATTTGAGGGTTTTCCAGTTATTCCTGGAAAGGAAATGGAAGCTCTTGGAGGTTTTTTCTCGTACTCTTTAAGTAGTTGATATTATTTTGTGATCCCTGTCCTTCGTGCCACTATTATTTGAGTTTCACCTTTGTCTTTGTAATTTGTCATCCTGCAGAAGTCTTGCAAATGACTTTTGGCAATGCCTGGTGGGAGGAATGGGCAAAATCTGAAGGTAAAATTGATGACGGTGCTGCTTCATGTAATTAATATACAAGCAAGCATATACGTCTGTGTCTTGCTGTAAGCATATCAATTTATGATCTCATTGTAAATTATATTCCTGGCATATGCAGGTTTCAGTTTGTATCCCAGTCAGACGAGTGAAGATGATGAACAGAAAATGGACGAGTTATCAGTATATTCTGACATCAAATTACAAGAAGGTGCAGAATCCTGGTCTAGTGCACACTCTGACAAGGATTATCCTCATGGTGATTCTAGTGATTGGTTTTCTGGAAGATGGTCTTGCAAGGGTGGTGATTGGAAGAGGAGTGATGAATCTGCCCAAGATAGATCTACTAGAAAGAAAATTGTCGTGAATGATGGTTTCCCACTATGCCAGATGCCCAAGTCTGGATATGAGGACCCTCGATGGCATCGGAAGGATGACCTCTATTATCCTTCCCAGGGCAGAAGGCTTGATTTACCCCTTTGGGCCTTTTCAACTCCGGATGAAAAGTGTGATTCCAGCGGCATGAGCAGGTCAACTCAAAATAAGCCCCCAATCGTTAGGGGAGTAAAAGGAACTATGTTATCAGTCGTCAGGATAAATGCATGTGTGGTTAAAGACCACGGTTCTTTTGTTTCTGAGCCTCGGACGAAAGTTCGAGGTAAGGAGCGATATTCTTCTAGGGCCACTCGATCGTATTCTGCCAGTAGTGATGGCAAGCGATCTTCAGCAGAAGGTGACATTCAGTCAAAGAGTGGTAGTGAGCAAGGTTTGCCAGGCTCTTGGAAAAGCAGCGCATTTATTAACACTCCTAAAGATCGTATTTGCACAGTCGACGACTTGTTGTTACATTTGGGTGAATGGTACTACCTTGATGGTGCTGGGCATGAGCAAGGACCTTCATCGTTTTCTGAGCTTCAGGCTTTAGCAGATCAAGAAACTATTCCAAAAGGTAGCAGCGTTTTCCGTAAGTTTGATAGAGTATGGGTTCCAGTCACCTCTACTGCTGAGACTTCAGAACAGACAGTAAAGAATCAAGGGGAGAGCACTGCATCTGGTGATTCTTCAGGACCTCTCATGCAGTTTCAGGGTGCCGCACATGGTGAACGTAATGCAACGTCTAATTCGTTTCACAACCTACATCCTCAGTTTATTGGTTATACCCTTGGAAAGCTGCATGAATTAGTGATGAAATCATACAAGACCCGGGAGTTCGCTGCAGCTGTCAATGAGGCTTTAGATCCATGGATTAATGCCAAGCAGCCAAAGAAAGAGACAGAGAAGCATGTTTACTGGAAATCAGGTAGAAATAAGTTCTTATAGTGTCCTTGATTGCTCATTTTCTGCTTTTACTGCTGCCAAGGTTGTTATTTACTTAGTTGCGATTATCTTTTTCTCGTTTGATTTTCTTTTTGTTCTTTTGCATTCATCAACTCATAGTTTTCATGTTTCATGTGGAACAAACATGCATTTCCATTTACACGTCTTCCCATGTCCTGCAGTTTTGCATCTAATAAATTCCCATTTAAATAATCTTTTTTTTTTTTTTAATATCATTTACTCTTACAGCAGTCTTCTGTTTCCTTAGTTGATTTTTTGTATACTTTTGTGTATTGGCAAACCCAATACCACGCAATCACATGGATTCCTATTTGCCATTGATTTTCATTATGTTTTCTTTGATAACTATAGGCAGTTACATCATCTATGGTGTACTTGATTCATGTTTTTAGAATTTCTTGTTGTGCATTATTAATATATTTTGTGGGCATGTGTGATTATCCAGAACATGGAATTTTATTATGAATTTACATTTTGTAATTATTTATTTATTTTTTCCTAATCTGTTTCTGGGGTGGTTGGGGACTGGTTTCTAAAGAAGGTGATGCACGTGCTGCCAAAAGAGCCCGTCTTCTGGGTGATGACAGCGAAGACGAGGAAATAGAAGACAATGATCAGACAGTTGTCAAGGCTGAATCCACATTTGAGGACTTGTGCGGTGATGCTTCCTTCTGTAGAGAGCAGGGTGTGAGTTCTGAACCTGGGATTGGAGGCTGGGGAATCCTGGATGGTCATGTGTTGGCAAGGGTCTTTCATTTTCTGAGAGCAGACATGAAATCACTTGCATTTGCTTCTTTGACTTGTAAGCATTGGAGAGCTGCTGTCGGGTTTTACAGGGACATTTCACGACAAGTCGACTTGTCATATTTGGGTCCTAATTGCACTGATCCCATCTTCCTCAACATTATGGTATGTTTTTCTTTTGTTTTTAATAGCAGTATAGCAGGAGATCATTACTACTTCCCAAGTTTACTCTGAATATTTTGCTTGCAGAGTGGTTATAGCAAAGATAAGATCAATTCTATGGTTTTAATTGGTTGTACAAACATCACTTCTGGCACGCTGGAGGAGATTATTTCTTCATTTTCTTGTCTGTCTACCATAGATATCAGGAGATGCAGGCAGTTCAGCGAATTGGCCCAAAAGTTTCACAACTTCAACTGGATCAAGAGCCGGAACTCACGTACCACGGTGAACTCTGAGGATTCATATACTAAAGTAAGGAGTTTGAAACAGATAACTGAAAAATCTTCGTCTGTCTCAAAAGTTAAGGGTCTCTATGGTAATGCGGATGATTTTGGTGAACTGAAAGAGTATTTTGATAGTGTGAATAAGAGAGACTCAGCAAATCAATTATTCCGGCGAAGCTTATATAAACGTTCAAAGCTCTTTGATGCCCGAAAATCCTCATCCATTTTATCTAGGGATGCCCGTACAAGGCGATGGGCTGTAAAAAAATCTGAAAATGGCTATAAGAGGATGGAGGAATTTCTTGCTACTAGTCTGAAGGACATCATGAAGGAGAATACCTTTGATTTCTTTGTACCAAAGGTAGTGGTAGTAAATTTTTTGTACACTCACTTTTTGGATGTTTTTCATAGTAGTCCTTTTCTTTTATCTGTTCTCAAAATTTCTCTTTGTATTCATCAGGTAGCCGAAATTCAGGAAAAAATGAAAAAGGGTTATTACATTGGCCGTGGATTGAGCTCTGTCAAGGAAGACATCATTAGAATGTGCCGAGATGCAAAAAAGTAAATCATCTTTGCTGTCTTCTGTCATCTTTCCCACCCCCACCAGAAAAAGAAAAAAAAATGACAAAACCGGAACTTTAATTTTGAAGACCATTGGGCTTAATTTTAAACCCTTGTCTGTTCTTACTAAAGTATGATTTTACTATCTTTATGCAGAGCAAACAATCGTGGTGATGCTGGAAATATGAGTCGCATTATCACATTGTTTAATCAACTTGCCTTACGTTTGGATGGGGGTTCCAAGCCTTCTCATGAAAAAGATGAGATGTTAAAGCTTGGCGAAGATGATTCATCGTCAGGATTCTCATCTACTTACAAGTACAAAAAGAAGCTGAACAAAGGAGTCACTGAAAGGAAGTACATGAACAGAAGTAACGGAACTTCCTCTTTGAATGGTGGTCTGGATTATGGAGAGGATGCGTCTGATCGAGAAATCAGAAGGCGGCTATCCAAACTGAACAAAAAACCTTCCGATTCAGAAAGTGAAACTTCTGATGATCCTGACAGGTCTTCTGAATATAGCAATAGTAGTGAGAGTACCACTTCTGAATCAGAAAGTGACAAATCAGAAGTTCGAACTTGGCAGTCAGGAGCGGGTGGATACTTTTCACCTGATGAGGGTTTGGATTCTATGACTGATGATCGTGAATGGGGTGCACGCATGACAAAAGCAAGCTTGGTTCCTCCTGTTACCAGGAAATATGAAGTCGTTGATGAGTATGTTATTGTAGCAGATGAGGATGATGTGAGGAGAAAGATGCAGGTATCTCTGCCAGATGACTATATTGAGAAGCTTAATGCACAGAAGAATGGAATTGAGGAGTCAGACATGGAGCTTCCTGAAGTCAAAGATTATAAGCCAAGAAAACAGCTTGGACGCGAGGTTATAGAGCAAGAAGTTTATGGAATTGATCCCTACACCCACAATCTCCTACTTGATTCTATGCCGGAAGAATTGGATTGGCCTCTTCTTGAGAAGCATGTGTTTATTGAAGATGTCCTCCTTCGCAATTTGAACAAGAAAGTTAGGCACTTTACTGGCACTGGAAATACTCCTATGATGTATCCTCTGCAACCTGTTATTGAAGAAATTCAGGATTCTGCTGAGGAGGACGGTGATATACAAACTATTAGATTGTGTCAGGGTATCCTGAGGGCCATAGATAGTCGTACTGATGACAAATATGTAGCTTATAGAAAGGTACGCGCATTATTCTGTACTGTACAAGTTAAACCTGTTTCTTCCCCTTTTTTTTGTTTCGTTCTTCCCCTTTTTTTGTTGCGCTAATTCTGAGACTTTTTGCAACTTTATGGTACCCATACTGATCTTCTTTTGTCCTTGTTTGTTGGTATTAGGGTCTTGGAGTCGTTTGCAATAAGGAAGAAGGTTTTGCAGAAGATGATTTTGTCGTGGAGTTTTTGGGAGAGGTAACGGCTTTCACATTTCTGGACCCTTTTTATCTGTTGAGAATTATTATTCTGGAATTTTTAAATGTATGCTCAACTTAACCCATGCTGCTATTTTTTTGGTCCTGTATCTCTGTTTCTTGCTTGAGAATATGGTTCTGGGTACTTGATGTGACACCAAAATTTTTCCCTTTAATCATTGTTTTTACATTTCCTTTTATAGGTTTATCCTGTTTGGAAATGGTTCGAAAAGCAAGATGGGATTCGATCTTTGCAAAAAAATAATAATGATCCAGCTCCAGAATTTTATAACATTTATCTTGAGAGGCCCAAGGTTTTCTATACTTTAACTTTGTTGAGTTCTGCTTTCTTTTCTGAAAATTTCATTTGACCGTCTATTGTTTATTGCAGGGTGATGCTGATGGGTATGATTTAGTTGTTGTTGATGCCATGCATAAGGCTAATTATGCCAGTCGAATTTGTCACTCATGCCGGCCTAATTGCGAAGCAAAGTAAGCTCTGTCTATTGTTTCAACTTCCAACTATGTTAATGTTCCGGTTGACTTGTGGAGTTGCAAAGTCGACTATTCTTATAAAGAGCAGATTTTGCTTTTTGTAACCCTGCCTTGTATATACTGAGCAGAATTGTAATGAAAGTTTAGCATATGGATTGTTGCATTACAGTGAGATTTTGTGGCACTATCATCTGAGTATCATCGTTTTAGAACTTTAATCTTTGATCAGTATCAACTAAAATGCTCTGTTGCTGTTAGACGTAGTTTCCTCATTGATTACTGCATTAGTCATGTCATCACACACACATTTAGACATTATACAGGAGATCTGCTGCTACCTTTTTCTCAATGAGATACTTTACAGTACTCAAGTCTCAAGCTAATGTGAATCTCACATTTGTAAAATGCAGAGTTACTGCGGTAGATGGTCATTACCAGATTGGAATATATACTGTCCGCAAAATTGGCAATGGTGAGGAGATCACATTCGATTATAATTCTGTTACGGAGGTCTGATTCTTTTGCCTATCACTTTATGTACTTTAGAAACAATTGACTTAGTTTGATGCTTAACCGTTTGTCTGTTCACTTTGCAACAGAGCAAGGATGAATATGAAGCATCTGTTTGTTTGTGTGGCAGCCAAGTCTGCCGGGGAAGCTATTTGAATTTGACAGGCGAAGGGGCTTTTCAAAAGGTATCCGAAAAATAAATAGCTACATTTTCTATGAAACCTTGGAGTTCATTTTCCCTCGAGGAGCAAATTATTTTCACACTCTGAAACTTGGCTTTCCAAAGGTTGATGCTTTAACTTTATGAATTATTTTACGTCTTTATTAGGTCCTCAAGGAATGGCATGGAATTCTAGACCGTCATCAATTAATGCTGGAAGCCTGTGAAGCAAATTCAGTTTCCGAAGAGGATTATCTTGAATTGGGAAGGGCTGGTTTGGGTAGTTGTTTGCTTGGTGGGTTGCCGGATTGGTTGGTTGTGTATTCAGCTCGCTTGGTATGTCTACTTGGTCGCTACTTCATTTCATTCTAGGACTTTTTTGTTTTCTTTGCTTGGTATATATTAACCTTCTCTTACGTACTGATTGTTTTTGACCCCTTCTGACTTGGTTGAAGGTGAGATTCATAAACTTTGAAAGAACAAAGCTTCCTGAAGAGATTCTGAGGCATAATTTGGAAGAGAAAAGAAAATACTTTTCGGATATTTGTCTGGAGGTCGAGAAGAGTGACGCTGAAGTTCAGGTGAATATTGTTTAATCTACTATTTCTTTAATCCTTCGTGCATGATTGTACTAATGTGTGTTTCTGTGGTGTGCTTGGGTTATATATGAGATACTCAGTAGTTTTTTGCTTGAGACAGGCTGAGGGTGTTTACAACCAAAGGCTTCAGAATTTGGCAGTTACTCTTGACAAGGTGATTACCGTTCTCCAATTCTAGAATGATGTCAACATTATCGTCATCTTCTTTGTTCTATTTTTTGGTTTATTCATTGTTACAATCTATGTAAAAACTAGGCACATCTTATACAGAGTCATGGACTAATTATCTTGTACGATCATCAGAAGATTTACATATAGACCTTGCTGCAAATAGTCATGGATGGGCATTGCTGCGTTGTAATGTTTATCTGATAAAATCAAAGTTGCATATAATAGGACAATTTTAATCCTGTTTTTGTTGTCTTAATCTTTTGCATTCTATATACAGGTGAGGTATGTCATGAGATGCGTTTTTGGTGACCCAAAGAATGCTCCACCTCCGCTAGAGAGGTTGAGTCCTGAACAAGTTGTTGCCTTCCTCTGGAAGGGAGAAGGATCACTTGTTGAGGAGCTTCTTGAGAGCTTGACTCCTCATGCGACCAAAGAAATGCTTGATGATCTGAAGTCCAAGATCTGTGCTCATGATCCATCGGGTTCTGAAGACATTCAGAAAGAACTTAAAAAATCTTTGCTGTGGTAAGGAGAATACTTTTATTTTGTTTTCATGGTTATGCTTTTTACCTTGTATAGCATGCAAATTACACTGATTGCCCTTTTCTCCTGCAGGTTGAGAGATGAAGTCCGAAATCTTCCATGTACATACAAGTCTCGGAACGATGCTGCTGCTGACTTGATTCATATTTATGCTTATACAAAGTGCTTTTTCAGAATACGGGTATGTCTCGTGTCATTAAGAAATGAGGAAGAAAAATTCCTAGTCCAGCAAAGGTTTCTGTTTTTTAATCCGCGAATTCTTTTACATTCCAGGAATACAAAGCTGTAACTTCTCCGCCTGTGTACATTAGTCCACTTGACTTGGGTCCCAAGTGCAAAGATAAATTGGGAACAGGTCTTCAGGAGTATTGCAAGACATACGGGGAGAATTATTGTTTAGGGCAGCTTATTTTTTGGCACAACCAGACTAGTGCTGATCCAGATTGTAGCCTCGCTAGAGCAAGTAGGGGTTGCTTGTCATTACCCGAATTTGGTTCTTTCTATGCCAAAATTCAGAAGCCCTCTAGGCAGCGTGTTTATGGCCCGAGGACTGTCCGATTTATGCTCTCAAGGATGGTGAGTTTTCGTTTTATCTTTTTTTTTTTTCCATTTTTTTTCCGTGGGGTTCTTTAGAATGCAGGTCCCTTCCCACTTTATCCTGTATTTTTGTTCCTAGTATTCCACCAAGAGACAAGTTTTATTTATTCTCTAGAAATGTATTCAACATTACTTCAGGATCCCTTTAGGTGAATATCCCCTGATTTCCAACGACTCTTTTTGCAGTTCGTTAACTTTTGTTTTTGTTTTTGTTTTTTTTTTTTTGAGACAAATACTAGATTTCCACGTCTTGCGTGGTTAGCTGTTTTAGAACTAGAGTTCATCCATAGGCCTGAAATATTGGTAACCTGGAACTAACCGGTGTTATTAATATTATTATTATTATAAGACAAGCTGGTTTTAATTTTAGAATTCCTTCATTAATTATAGAGTACAGGAGAAAAAAAAAAAAAAAAAAAAAAACCGTTTGTGAACCTAGTTTCGGCTTTCATGTGCTGTCCTTAGTTTCAAATGAAAAACCCAGCAATCTCTAATCTGAATAAACTTGCTTCCGTTTTAATGTTGTTATCTTACCTTAAAACCATTTTGTGTTGATGATGCAGGAGAAGCAGCCGCAGAGACCTTGGCCAAAGGACCGAATATGGTCGTTTAAGAGCAGGCCGAAGGTGGTTTGCAGTCCTATGCTTGATGCTGTTTTAACTAACACTCCGTTGGACAGAGATCTGGTTCATTGGTTAAAACATAGGCCTGCCGTATATCAGGCCACGTGGGACCGATGAAACTACTTTTTTGGCAGATGCTAGGGACACAGAACAGCAGAGGATTGCGGGCCAACGCTGTTAATTGAGTTTTGGAATGATATTCTTCTTAGGTTTTAGTTGACACCAGCCCTTTTTGATGTGGGTTTTAAAAAAAAAAATGTCATTCCAAAACTCTCATTCATTGTACTACTACTACCTCATTATTCTGTATTTTTTGGTTTTTTTTTTTTTTTTTTTTTTTTTTTTTTTTTTTTTATTGTAATCCATTCGTTGTCTAGTGGTTAGAGCATATTTGTTTCCCCTATTCTAATTCAAGGAAATGTGAATGGAAAAAAAAGGGGGTGAAAAATCAAATGACTCTTTTTTATTTATTTATTTTTTATTTTTCTTGTATGTTGCTCGTTTCCAAATGACATGTACAATTGTATATATGTGTAGCATATAACTATCATGTTCATGATACACGAGCCAATCTTATGCGTAATAATCATGAGAGGTTTTACAATGTCTTGTAAGTTAACGTTAACATTATTTCCTCAAAAAAAAAACGAAAACAATCCTTAAATTGTACCAATGTTTCCAAAATCCATAAAAAAAATACCCAAAAAAAGAAAAGAACAAGAAAAAGAAAAAGAAAGAAAAAGAAAGAGAATAGCAACCAAGCGTCGTCCAGCTGATTATATTACTGCAGAAACCCACGCCCAACCCCAACATCATCACGTATGAAAATCAGAGAATGTCCAGATTTTCTAATTCCCCGTGTTACCCCTCCTTTTGGCTAATACATCATCTGAAAAGGGCACCATGTCCATGGCATTGTCGTAATTTTAGGACGAAACCTGTCTGTCCTTTTAAACCCGAACGCAGCTTTGGTTAGCAGCTGCACTTAACATGACAGCACCGTCCGATGCACCACCACCACCTTCCCCGACAAATAACCCCCCTCATACGTACTCGTACGACTTCTTAGCCACCCCGCCGTCCGATCACACATCCTAGACTCCCCATCCAACGGCCGTTACTACGAAATCTCCAATTTGAAAATTAACTTATATATATATATATATATAAAATGATATTAGAGAGAGAGAGAGAGAGAGAGAGAGAGAGAGAGAGAGAGAGAGACGCTACCCACGTGTAATTATGCCAAAAACTGTACGGAAAAATCGTCCTCGAACACAGAGCCGCCTTTGCAGACTCTTCACCTCTCTCAGGATGCCACGTGTCCATCTCCTCTCGTCCCCCTTGTAACGTCCATGCGAGAGAAAAATAGCACCTCTGAAAAATATAAAGAACAGTTTTCTTTTTGTTTTTTTTTTTATTTGCTGAAAAAAATACAGAACAGTTTATAAACGAGACAAAGCACTCAATAATCGCCGCCTAACGTGATTTTCAGAGGAAAGAACAAAATTTGTTATGGTTATTTTTCTTTATAGTATTGTAATTATTTATCTTCCACTGTTATATTACTCAAGTTATTATTTTCTGTACAGTTCGATGAATCCCGGCTCTACACGTGTATATCCGTTGATGTAAATGCATGATATATACCCGAAGGAAATGCAAATTAATGCTATTCTCTGCTTTCAGTAATTGACACAACTCGCTTTCCCTTTCTTCCTCAGTTCCTCTTCAGATTGACAATCCATTTCTTAATCAAAATGGACACAGATTTCCAGTCCGACTACGAGAGCTTCCTGGCTAACAGCGCCGCCGCATCCGCCGGCGAATGCTCCTCCGACGACATCTCCACCTTCAACTCAATGTTCTCCAACGTCAGCCTTCTCTCTCTCCTCACCTCCACTCCCAACCAGGATGCTCTTCTCTCCTCTCTTCCTTTACTCTCCGACTTCACTTCTCTCTCCTCCTCCTCCACTACCATCCCTCCTCCGCCCGGTTTCGTCTTCTTCCCCAACGCCATTACTCCCAAACCCGAACCTCTGCCCTTCACTGACTTCACCGACGAAACAAACCATCTTCCTCGTCCGCCTCAGCCGCCGGTGACGCCGACGCCGCCTTTTAATTTCATGTTTGCTGACACCGAATCTCCGGCGTTCCATCACTTACCGGATCTCCTCTCGCTCGACCACTTCTCCCCCTCCGCCGCTGGAGAGGAATACTCGCCGCCGTCGTCTTCGTCGCTCAAACGCTTGCGTGCCGACTCCACCAGCACTTCTCATCACCAGGCTTCCCCTCCTCCACCGCCGCCGCCTCCGATGGTTCCGCGGGGAAGTGCTCTGGCGAGGCAGCGGCGGCAGAAACTCAGCGACAAGACTCGGTGCCTCCAGAAGCTTCTTCCCTGGGACAAGAAAATGGACATGGCGACCATGCTTGAGGAGGCGTACAAGTACGTCAAGTTCCTTCAGGCTCAGCTGGCCGCCCTCCAGTCCATGCCCGCCGTCGCCTCTTCATCCTCATCCGCCGGCGTCGAGTCTTTCGGTGGGCTGGGAAGGCTGAACGGGAACCAGCTATTGCAGGTACTGGTGAACTCGCCGGTTGCTCAGACCACGCTCTACTCTAAGGGTTGCTGCGTTTTCTCCGTGGAGCAGCTGGGCTTGCTCGAGAGGCTCGCCGACATGAGCAGAATCACGAGTTCTGTTGCTCGCAATTCTCTTCCCCCGAATAGGTTTTGAATCTTTCTTTACTAGGTTTGCTTTTGGACTGAATTATTTCTCTTTTTCTTTTCTTTTCGGCTTAGAGTAGTGCTGGTTAAGCGTTAAAGGAAGAATATGGATTAAGTAGATGCTGGTAATTGGAAGTGATTTCAGCGAGTTAGTTTATCACCTTTGTCTTTTGTAGGATTTCATTAGTTTATGTTTTTTTTTTTTTTTTTTTTTTTTTTTTTTTTTTTTTTCTCTTTTCTCTTGAAATTTAATAGTTTACAATTTTCATATTTTGTTGGATGGTGAATGAGTTACTTGATATATATATATATATATATATATAGCTGATCTCTGGCATTGTGAAGCACAACTCGAAATGGATGACTGACTCTTTTTCTTTATTTCATATGTGTTTTTTTTTTTTTTTTTTTTTTTTTTTTTGTTTTTTTTTTTTTTTTTTTTTTTTTTTTTTGGGTTCTTGGGTATAATGTTTATTCTTTTTTTTTTTCCCCCTTCTCTCTCTAATAGTGGTAATTAAGAATCTACTTATAGTGTACAAGTATGAAGAATGTGTGTCTCTTTGAAGGTCTGCGTGGATAAAGACTGTTAGATGTAATATGTTCAGATAGCGGAAGATATTAGCTGCGTATTTATTGCATTCATTGGTATGTTATGCAATAATTGTTTTGTTTGTTTTTCTCTTTTCTGTTTTAGTATTTTGGACATCTACATAGAGGTTAGAGATTTCAGGTTAGCATGTTCTGTCGTTTTTACCTGTGATTGTCGGTTGTTTAGTTTTCTTGTTTATTTGATTATGCCTGCTGGTTTCTAGCTCTTCAGCAATACCTACCTATGAGTTTAACCCGAGTTACAGACTTTAAAAGTTGGGGGATCATCGTGTAATCATGATAGAGTTCCTTTACGAGTTTATAATCGTCGTATTCTGTGTGATTTCTGCGTTCATTAGTTTACATTAACACATTTGGCTGGAGGTTGGATCACTGTGAAATGGGTGATTGACTCTCTCTCGTCATTTTATAAGTTTGTTTTATGGGCACAAAGATTCTAATTGTTGGCATGTTGGTACTCGGTAATGGTATTTTTTTTTCCCCTTGATATTGTGAAGATTACAGTCATATGGACCCACATATTTGGCCATTATATTGTGCTATAATATCTTCCGTTTCCAGATAGTGGAATATTAGCTCCTTATTCATTGTATTCAATGAATAAAGACATTTTTACCCCCGAAACTAGATATGGTTAATAGGAAATTCAGGGTCGGGAATTTAGATATAAATGAAGGGTAATATAAACTTTATACCACTTGAAATGATTTGAATCAAAGAAAATGAAATATAATGGTAAAAATCAACAACCGCCTCTTAGAGGTGCTATATAGTCAAATTAACATACTGGTTTTAAGTTGTTCAACATTACCTATGAGTTGGGCTTCATTACATAGTTCAAAATGGAGAAATGGTAGAAAATAGGCCACTATGAAAAGCTTAAGAAAGTATATAAGTCAATTTTTAGTTATAAAAATTAATAGGTCATAATTTATTAAGTTATGGTTCATAACTAGATAAGTTATGGATCAACATAAACTTGTCAAGTTATGGTTCATAGTCAGACAAGTTATGGACAATTATGGACAATAACTTGTCAAGTTATGGTTTATAACCAGACTAGTTATAGACGAAAATAGTAATTTAACCTATTTATTAACTAATGTAAATAATTAACCTATTAATTTTAATTATCTCAAGTCTTGACTTATTTTTCTCTTTCTCCTTTCAAAGTGTTGGCCTTTTACCCTGAGTAGGACCAGGGCTCTGTTCAAAGTGAACGAAGTCCGGTGAATGGGTTAATGCTTTAGTGGGCTTTTGTCTCTCTTTCGTCCCTCTAACATACGGGACGGTGCATGTAAATTTGGTTCAGCTTATATCATTTTTATATGGGGGTTTTTTTTTTTTTTTCAATTTTAATAACCTGAATTTTTGTTATTATTAAAAATCATACCATATATAAATAGATCATTTACTCTCAAATATGAAGATATCAATGTGATACAATTTAAAGAACAGCGTAACTTTTTAATAACCTCAAATTGTTGGGTACAAAAATGAAAAAAAAAATCCTTCTAGATATAGAATTATAGATAGTTAACCCACTCAAGCTCAAACTTTAGAACTTTTATAGTAGAGCACATTATTTTTCTCTACCATTAGAGTAAATTTTAATTATTTAATTAAATTTTAACGGTTTAATTTATAAGTACTTACATTAAAAACAATACATCTTACACGTAAAAATATCCATTCTCATAGATCATATCGTTGAAGTTTAATCAAATCACTAACTAGCGTTTGGTTTATGGATTCAAATCATGTGATTAGAACTATTTTTGATTTACGTGTATTTTTTATGAGAAAAAATATTATACCGAACCACGAACCATAATTCAAATTAGGGAACGAATCTAGGTAACAAACGGTTTCGGCACATGATGCGACAACCGGCAAACGTATGAAAAACCTTGTGTGTAATTTACAAATGTTTGAGACTTGCTTATTCGTGCGCGAACTCCGTTTTGTTTTTTTTCCTGTAATATAAGTCGGTCAGCATAATTCATCAATTTAGTTTTCTTGTTATGCTTATTAGAGAAATAAGAACAAGCATGTATTCATCATATCTCAATCAAGCTAGTCTTCTAATCTCCTGACCACAAAAAGTGAAGCTAAATACGCATTTGTTTTTACTTATTAGTTGTTTTTCATCTTCCAGTCCACTTTATCGAGTGTCGAAGTGAGCCACCTTGTAGAAATAACGCCTAAGAGTCCCATGGGTCGTATCATGGCTTTTCTGTGGGGCCTTCTTAACTACTTTTCTCCTTGTTAGTCTTCTTCTCATCGAAGGAAGCAAATAAATAAATAAATATATACATATATATATTGAATTGTCACGAAAATTTAGTTATTAAACTCATTTAAATTTAAAATTTATTTTATTACAGTAAAAAAATTTTAGAAACAGTAACATTTAATTTTTTTATTACGGTAAAAAACTCTCACATAAAGTCACATCTCAACTCGAATTAAAAACTCGAATCAGCGAACTAAACGGATCCAATAACTATTGAAATATCTTCTTTGTAAGGGCATCATATTGATAGTGTGGGAATACGAGCGTTGAATGTGATCAAAATTGAGTCAAAGTAAAAATGTATACAAAATAAATAATTTCTCACATAAATATTATGGCCATAAATAGAAATCTAACTGCAGTTTATTTTTACGGTCCTAGCAACACAAATCTCCTTGAAATATTGCCATGGCTTCCCTTTTAGCTTTCAATCTTTGTATCCAGTCTAAGGATGTACTATTATATATATATATATATATATATATAATTCAATTTTTGCCTCAAAGTGTCCATTCCACCTTTCCTTTTATTTCGTCCTTTGATCGAGCTCCTTTTAACTCACGGTGCTTTATTTTTCCCACTTCTAAGCTGCCTTTTTGGGTCTCATTTGACGTGACAAGATGAAATTAGTATTTTTGGGTTTGATAGTGGAATAAAGCACACCATCGTCAATTTCCCACTTGCCCTCGAGCAAAGCAAGCTAGCTTATTCTTTTATTTTGAAGAAAAAAAAAATTGTTTTATGTATTATTTTTTTTTTTTTTTTTTTTTTTTTTTTTTTTTTTTTTTTTTTTGTCTCTTGCACTATCTTATTCTTAATGCCCCGTTATGTATTATATGTTTGTTCGTTCTGTCGAAATACTCGTACAAAATCAATAACCAGCAATACGTTAGTTCAACGTTAAAATAATACGAGCAAGAGGGAGCTCTCATGAGAGGGCAATGTATATTTTTTTTATCATTATATTTAATTAAAATTACATTAAAATATTAAAATAAGCACTATCGTATAAATATTTTACACTTTAAAGCATCTATTGAGAAAATACATTTTCATGCCATACCATCAAATTTTCGGGTCCCGTTTAGTTCGCTGATTCGCGTTTTTAATTTGAGTTGAGATGTAACTTTATATGAGAACTTTTTACTGTAGTAAAAAAGTTAGATGTGACTGTTTCTGAGAATTTTTTACTGTAACAAAACTCGAATCGGTGAAATGAATGAGCTTATCTTTTTTCATTTGGGAACAAATTACATTATCAGAATTCAAAAAAAAAATTTGAATATATATAAGGAAATATTAAAGAGTGCCTAACATAGAAAAAATGGCTGAATAAATATTTTTGTATAAAGAGCTGTTAAATAAGGACGCATTTATAGTGAAAAATGTTATTTTACTCCACAAATAAGAATTATATTTTAACTGTTGGATTAATTTTTTAACAATCTGATTTATAATAAGAATAGTTTCACATCACATATTATAAAATTTTTAATATAGATATATACAAATTTAATTTTTTAAAAATTAATTTAATAATTAAAATAATAAATTTTACAGTAAAGTAAAATAACCTTCTGCGTCCTAAAAAAAAATTCCGTTAAAAAATAGCTACTGAACATTACGAACAACAGCAAGCAAAGAATAGTTCACGACGGGCCCCCAAAAAAAAAAAAAAAAAAAGAAGGGAAATGAGAGTTCACATCTCAGAAAAGGAAACGAGTGCAGAAAGCTGATGAAAAAGTAAAAAGTCTGTACTAGTGCTAAGCAATTAAAGTTACTATTTACCAAGCACTTATATAATAATTGATCACACAAAATGAAGAAAAAACTAGTCCAAACGATCAGCTCTTAAAGTCAAAAGGTCGTAAAGATTACTCGTCCTATCATCTTTTCATGATCCCCCGGTGCGTGATAGATTCCAATGGCACGCTCCTCTATGAGCTGGTTTATGCTCTACTTTTCTTGTTCCCCTATCAAAGGAATCCAAGACTGAAGAAAAAAATTAAACAAAGTCCTCATTACCGTGTAGACAAAAGAAGCTTTTACCCACTTATCCCATTCCCTTCTAAAAAAAAACTTTACTCTTCTTTAAATTCCCCTCAAAATCTTCCTTCCAAGTCTCGTCAAGCTTGATCTAATCTAATCACAAAAAATAAAATAAAATAAATAAAAAAAAATGGTTAAGGCAGCTGGTATTCTTCTTTGTCTTGTGATCCTGGCGATCGACGTTGTGGCCGGGATTCTCAGCATCCAAGCAGAAGCTGAACAAAACAAGGTATTATATATTTGTAGCTAACTTTTTACATTGCAAGATTTCTAGTCTAGTAGAAAAGAATGGTTCTAAGTTATGATATATATATATATATATATATGTTTAATTTAGAAATTTATTAACGTTAATTTGCATGGTCTAATTTGGAAATGTATTGTTGCAAAATTAGGTGAAACACTTACGGCTATGGATATTCGAGTGTAGAGACCCAAGCGAAGCAGCATTCAAGCTAGGGTTAGCTGCGGCAGCACTTTTGGTAGTGGCCCATGTAATTTCTAACTTGCTTGGTGGTTGTCAAAATTGCATTTGTACCCCAGATGAGGTTCAAAAGGCTTCTCCAAATCGGCAACTCTCAGTGGCATGCCTCATTTTAACATGGTACTACTTATATATATATATATATATATGTTTGGCTGGAAATTAACAGTTACTTGGTTGTTAAAGGATGAAAATATACATCTAATTACCAAATCCCTCTTTTTTTTTTTCCTTGTTAAACAGTTTACTCATGTGGTAGTTTCAGTAAGAACAATCAAAATAGATCCCATTTTAATTAAATTAAAATGGGATGCATATGCTTCTCGTTTTTCAGCTTTTTAATGTCGTATCTATTTTCTTGTCAACAAGGTTGAAAACTGAGATGTATGTATGTATGTATATGTATATATATATATATATATTTAATTGAATTTTACCGACGAGATTTTAAAGATTAGGCAGGACATTATTTGCATAACATAACAAGACGATGAAACATATGAATGTCTAATCTAGTAGAAAGAATTACAGATAAATATTGTCTAGAGACTTCTATGTACTATGGTTGAGGCATGATTAATAATTTCATATTGCATCCTTAATTTGTTGGTTGATCAGGATCATATTCGCCGTTGGATTGTCCATGCTGGTGATAGGGACTTTGTCCAACCACAAGTCAAGAGCTTCCTGTGGTTTTACGCACCACCATTTTCTGTCCATTGGAGGGATCGTGTGTTTTGTGCATGGCCTTTTTGCAGTAGCTTATTATATATTTGCCACTGCCTCCGACTAAGGAATCAAAATGATCTATATATGTGCTTCAAGCATTTTTTTTTTCAATTAAATATTTGCTAATCATCTCTCTCTTTCATTGCTTGTCTTGATCAACAACGTACTAATTAATCCCATTCCCATCTCCTTAGTTGGCAGATACACTAATTTGACATATTCCGTGGTAAATTGCACAATTTAGTTATGATCAAATGTTATTTACTATGCTTGGCCAGGCCTCGAGGAACATATATAATGATGAGTTAACAGGAAATTCTTTTCTCTTTCAACGTTGATCATTTGAGATTGAGCACTTTTGTTCATGTGGATTTAACCCCACTGTGATGTCTAGGCTAAACACTTCCTTTTCACTTCTTTTATAAAAAAACTGAAATCCATATAGACAAGTCGCTTAGAAACAAGGTTTTTTTTAAAATTTTTTTTTTTTTTTTTTCAGTAAGACCTTCCTATCAATAGTGCACATTTCCTTTTTATTTTTTAAGTGCATGTTAGAGAATTTCCCTAAAAAAAATGGTAGGTTTCTTTTAATTTCAACAAGTTTTCATATTTAAGTGCCAATTACTTGTGACATGCATGGCCCATTGTGAAAAAGGGGGTGTGGAAGGATCAATCATAGGTCACTTTGGAGAAGAATTTGTTGGGTACAGCAGATGATTAAAATATTGAGTAATGACTTGTGTCATGCAAGATGTGGAATACAACCAAATTTTTACATATGAAATTACTGGTCAAATTAAAATTCCATTATGGAGATCGCAATTATAGGCACCCAAGTCCATAGAGGAAGACAGGCTGAAACTTAGGGTCCACAGTCGACAAAAAATGTGGCCCCTTTCAGATAAAAACTAGTTTTTTTGTCTACCGTTGCGAAAAAGATTGTTATATTATAAAAGAAGTCAAGAGTTTTTACATTACAATATTAATTTATATATACATACATACACATATATATTTATTTAAAGTTCTACTAAAAAGGTTTATATACATACATACAGATATATATATATTTTTTTTGTTTAAAGATCTAGTAAAAAGACTTGTACATTATACTACATTTTTTGCTTTTCTTTTTTTATTGTTCTTCGGAGTTGGAGCTGCAAAATAAATTTTTTTTTGAAAAGTACTGAATTCATCACATTAGGAAAAGAATAATAAATAGAACTCCAGACCTCTCCTCATTTTGACTTAAAACTGAATAGCAGAGGAAAGGCAATGGAATAATTAAAATGATCAAAGAAACAATAAGAGGCAAGACTTAACTTGTAGTAAAGTGACGAAAAAGATCCAGTCTAAAAACATAGGACAAAATAAGTGACCAAGAGGAAAATTGTGAAAAGAATTTATAAAACAGAAAAAACAAAAAATATCCAATTCAAAAATAGATGCAAGGGTTAAAGACTCAAAGAAAGACTATACAATTGGAATGTATGGCAATAGAAAAAAAAGACCAATATGCCAAACTAAGCTAAAGTCGTCAAAAAATTAAGATGAAATAGGAAAATTTGAAGAATCCGGGAGGAGAAAAAACATGACTGATATGTGTCCAAATAAATGTTCAATGAAAATATGACTAAAAAAAAACCAAAAGGATAAAAGTACACTAAAAAAAAGGAAAAAAAGACAATATATAGAAATTTTGATGGAAAAAGGTAGACAAAATCATAATGCAAGTGAGATAAATCCAGTCGCATCAATTTTGAGATAGTTTACATAAAATTCAAGATGTCAAAATCCATTCCAATCATCATTGCCACATAAAGAAAAGAGAATAGAAGAAAAAAGCGGACATAGATTAGCAGTATTCATGAAGTAAAACAATAAAGCACAAACTACATAAATATCATTAGAGCAAATAAATATCTCCACACTGAGTAACAAATAGTGAATGGCTATAGGTAACGATTATGAGTAATACCTGAAGCACTATAAACACTGCCTTAAATATGAAATAGTAACCACTCAAACATCAGCAGAGAAAGTGAGTAAATACAAAGGCATGAAGTTGGAGCAGTAAATGAGTAGGATTAAAGCAGAGTAGTAAATGAACGAAGATGGAATGCAAAGGATCGAAAGTCAAGCACAAGGGAGAAGAACAGGAATAGAGAGAGCAATAAATGATTGAGAATGTAGCAGAGCAGTAAATAACGTGAGATGAAATATGAAGGAGACAAAGCAAAGTCGGCGAGAGAGCAAGGGATCGATAATAATGCCGATATAGCAGCAATATTTATAAAAGTAAAGGAGGAAAAAAATTTCAACAGTACATGACTTGTAAGAGAACGCGTGGCAAAACAAAGTCGGTCTGCAAAAACTAAGGAAGCAAGATTGCTTAATCAGATGGCAGAAGCAACGTACGTATGTAATAAGCAAAAACTAAATAATAAATAAATAATAATGAGTTTAGGAAACGGGAAAAAGGGGGAAAAAAAAAAAAGAAGAGAAAAACAGAAAGGAAAAGTTCTCAATTTTTTTTTCCAGATTTTTCACTAATTTTAAGAATTAGATAATGATAAAGAGAAAAAAGAAACAGTTCATTTAATGCCTCTGCAACAATATGAGTACAGATCATCAAATTAAGTAATTAAATCAGCACTCTAAATATCACAGATCAACAAATTAATCAATCCAAAGTAAAAAAAATCGTTATTTACCTGTATACCAGATGAAGTCAGGAACAAAGAACATCAAAAGATGCTTATTGAACCTTCTTTATGCATAAATTTATCTCCTGAAGTAGACTAATGAAAAAAGAGAACAGAAAACAAAAAGAAAGGAAAAACCACTGAAACAAAAGCAAAAAAAAAAAACAAAAATTTATCTCCTGAAGCAGGCCAATGACAAAAGAGAACAACAAACAAAAAGAAGGAAAACCCACCGAAACAAAAGCAAAAAAAAAACGAAAAGGAAAAAAGGGACAAATAAAAAAGTAGGACATGGAGTCGACCAAAAACAGAGGGGAAACCAAACCAACAAAGACAAAACCCAACCAAAAAAAGAAAAGAAAAACGAAAAAAAGGCAGAAAAGAACAGAACATGGACTTGACAAAAAATTAAGGGGAAACCAAACTAAATGAGGAAATCAAACCAACAAAGAAGCATGCAAGAAAAATCTTCAAAAAACTTGCAGCAAAACGAAGCAAAATGAAAGTGCGGCCAACGAAAAGCATCCAAAAATCCCACAAGAAAGAAATCAAAGAACCCACAACAAATATTACATAAACCATGGAGGTTCACTTCTTATTAAGTTTGTTAACTTAAGTCTAACACTTGTAATAAGTGTAATAATGTTTTGATTAGTTTTAATATTGCTGAGCTGGCATAGAGTGGCTGTATAGTTTGTTAGGATCAACATAATTAATTTTCGCTGGTTTTACTTGTCTTCTTCTTTTCGGTTATTCAGGAGCTGTATATAAGCTTCTTTTGTATTCAGTTAATAACAAGAAATGAGATTAATCTTTTCTCAGTTTTCATTTTCTTCATCATAATATGGTATTAGAGCGAAAAAAATGCTCCACTTTTCTGATCAAATTTTTTTTTGATATGTTCGATTTTTCATTCATTCGGTCGTTGTCTTCTCCGATCGATCTTTGTTGATTTTTTTGATCTGTTGTTCCTCTGCTTCTTGTTGATGGCGAATTCCAGAGCAGATAATGGCAAGTCCGCCATTGATGATCCTTCGAGTCCGTATTTCTTCGGATGGTCCAGGTTTGATTCTTGTTTCTCAACCTCTTACAGGAGACAATTATGCCTCATGGAGTCAGGCTATGCTGATTGGTCTTTCTGTTAAGAACAAATTAGGGTTTATTGATGGTTCTATTAGGAGACCAAAAGGCGATGATCCAAATCTGTTAACTTCCTGGATTAGGAACAATAACATAGTGATTTTGTGGATTTTGAATTCAGTTTCTAAGGAGATTTCGGCTAGTGTCATTTTTTATGAGTCCGCACTTGAGATTTGGTTGGATCTGAAAGATAGGTTTCAGCAGAGTAATGGTCCAAGAATCTTCCAGTTACGTCGCGAATTAGTGAATCTGGTGCGAGATCAGAATACAGTCAGTGTGTATTTTACGAAATTGAAGACACTTTGGGATGAACTAAGCAATTTTCGTCCTTCTTGTTCCTGTGGAAAGTGTCCGTGTGCTTGAGTGCGTGATCTTAATGAACATTATCAGATGGAGTACATAATGTCTTTTCTCATGGGATTGAATGAATCATATTCTCATATTAGAGGTCAATTGTTGCTCATGGATCCTATGCCTCCAATTAATAAAGTTTTTGCACTTGCTGCTCAAGAAGAACGCCAATGATCTATTGGGAGTATTACTAGTCTAGACACAGCTAGTACTATGGCATTTACTGCGAAGTCAAATGAACACAAGTCTGAAAAGTCCACTGTTCAAAATAATGGAGGCTCACGGTTCCACAAGAAGGAAAGACCGCTATGTACTCATTGCAATTTTTGTGGTCATACTATTGACAGATGTTACAAGCTACATGGTTATCCTCCAGGATTCAAGCCAAGGCAGCGGTATGGTGAGCAACAACACAATTCTGTGCATCAAGTTTCAAGCAATGAAGTCAAAATGGAGACATAAAATTCCAGCAACCCAGTGCAATAGTTAAGTTCAGCCCAGTGTCACCAATTGCTGGCCCTGTTGTCCAGTCAATTGGCTCAGTCTTCTAAGGTATCTAATGATCAGCCCGAGGTTTCAAATGTCACTTGCGTTACAGGTACCTACTCGTCAATAGCTTTAAGTGTTGTTTTGTCTATTTCCAAGTATTGGATTGTTGATTCTGGAGCTTCACAGCATATATATTCAAAGGCTGAATTTTTCACGTTTTTAAAGCCTATACAGAACTCTAGTGTCATGTTGCCCAATCACACTAGTATACCTGTTTCTATGTGTGGTGATGTGAAGATAAATTCGAGGATTGTTCTTAAAGATGTACTCTTTGTGCCGCAATTTAGATTCAATTTGATTTCAGTAAGTGCCCTGACTAATGATTCAAAGGTCACTTTGAACTTTATGTGTGATTCTTTTATGATTCAGGATATCAACACCACGAAGACGATTGGCAGGGGTGATGGAATATATGGTCTTTACTTGCTGGATGCAAATAAATGTGGCTGGTTATCCACAGATTCTAATTCAGGTTCTCATTTGTTTGTTAATACTGCCACTGCTAAGATTTGGCATGATAGGCTTGGCCATTTATCTTTTAAAAGGCTTATGTGTTTGCAAAAGTTGTTGAATGTTGATGTTTCCAAGTTTAATAATCATGGCCCTTGTTATGTTTGTCCTCTAGCTAAACAACGCCGTTTGTCTTTTGATTCTCATAATCATTTGTTAGCTTCTGCCTTTGATTTAGTGCATTGTGACATCTGGGGTGCTTATCATATTCCTTCTCATGCCGGTTATAGATATTTTTTAACCTTGGTTGATGATTGTACTCTGTTTACATGGGTCTATTTACTTAAATAAAAATCTGATGTTCTTTCCATAGTCCCTAGGTTTTGTAACATGGTACAAACTCAGTTTAATGCTAAAATAAAAAAGTTTAGAACATATAATGCACGGGAGTTAGCGTTTACTGAGTTATTTGACAAACTAGGGATTTTTCATCAATTTTCTTGTGTCGACACACCTCAATATAATTTCGTCGTTGAAAGGAAACATCAACATCTGTTGAATGTTGCTTGGGCTTTGTTTTCTCAATCTCGTGTTCCAATCTGGTTTTGGGGTGAGTGCATCCTTACTGCCACTTTTTTGATCAACAGAACTCCTTCCCCTTTGTTACTTAATAAGTCTCCTTATGAGTTGCTGTATGATGATGGGGTTGATTATTCTTTCCTTCGAGTTTTTGGATGTTTGGTTTTTGCATCTACTCTAGTAGCTCATCGAACAAAATTCCAGCCTAGGGCACGAGCATGTGTGTTCATTGGTTACCCGCCTGGTGTCAAAGGTTATAGATTGCTAGATCTATAATCCAGGGAGATTTTTATCTCCAGGGATGTTGTTTTTCATGAGGAGGTTTTCCCCTTTCACTCTATAGGATCCAATGATGTGTTCATTGATCCATTTCCTGACTTGGTCTTACCAAACTCCTCTGTCATTAATCATCCGGAGGTTTCTGCTGACATTCCTGATTTTGGTTTTTCTGAAGTTCCTCAGTTGCCACTTGTTCCTGAGATGTCTGATCACTCTCTAAGAAGATCTACTAGATCTATTCGGCCTCCTTCTTATCTACAGGACTTTCATTGTAATCATTTGTTTGATTCTTCATTCACGGTCCTATACCCCCTGTCCAAGGTGCTTGATTATAGTAAACTTTCTTCCTCTCATAAACAGTTTGTTATGAATGTCTCTTCTACTTTGGAACCTCAGTTTTATCATCAAGCTGTTAAGCACGCTGAATGAAGGGATGCCATGAAAGAAGAATTACTGGCTAGGGAGGCAAATAACACTTGGCAGGTGGTTGTTTTACCCAAAGGGAAGCATTCGATTGGCTATAAATGGGTGTACAAGATTAAACACAAGGCTGATGGCTCAATTGATCATTTTAAGGTACATTTAGTGGCCAAGGGATTTACACAACAAGAGGGTGTTGATTTCTTTGAGACTTCTCTCCCGTGGCTAAGTTAGTCACTGTTAAAGTCTTGTTGAAGGCTGCAGTCCATAAGTGGCATCTATTTCAAATGAATGTTAATAATGCTTTCCTCAATGGTGACTTGTTTGAGGAGGTTTACATGAATCTTCCTCTTGGGTATAATCATCAGGGGGAGAGAAACTCTAATGGTGATCGATTAGTTTGTAAACTTAACAAGTCCATATATGGCCTTAAACAAGCTTCGTCACAATGGAATTCCAAGCTTGCTTGAGCTTTAGTCAAGTTTGGCTTTATTCAGTCCAAGTCAGATTATTATTTGTTTACTATGGGTGATGATGATTCATTTCTTGCCTTACTGGTTTATGTTGATGATATTATCATCATTGGACCAAATCTTGCAGTCATTGATGGTTTAAAACAATTTCTTCATGGTCAGTTCAAGTTCAAGGATTTAGGTCATTTGAAATTTTTTCTTGGTCTCGAAATAGCTCGGTCTTCTGCAGGTTTGGTTCTTTCTCAAAGGTATTATGCCTTACAATTACTTGAAGATTCGGGTTATCTTGCTTGCAAACCCGCAGCTGAACCGATGGATGCCAAAATTCAGCTTTGTGCTGATGAAGGTTCTCCTTTGTCGGATGCTTCACAATATAGGAGGTGGATTGGTCGTTTGTTATATCTCACCATTACTTGTCCTGATATTACGTTTGTCGTTCACAAGTTAAGTCAGTTCTTAACCAAGCCAAGGGAACCATATTTACAAGCTGTTCATCACTTACTTCGTTACATTAAAGCCAGCCCAGGACAGGGTCTTTTCTATTATGCCAATTCATCTATTCAGTTGAAAGCATTTTCTGATGCTGATTGGAGTTCTTGTCCAGATTCTAGAAAATCAATGACTGGTTTTTGTATTTTTGTGGGAGATTCTTTGGTTTCTTGGAAATCCAAGTAACAAACGACGGTTTCTCGCTCTTCTGCTGAAGCTGAGCATAGGGCTCTGGCAGCCACATTGAGTGAGTTGGTTTGGTTATGACAACTTTTGTCCAATTTTGGCCAGGGCCTGCATTCTCCTCCGGTTCTTTTCTGTGACAATCAGGCAGCAATTCATATTGCTTCCAATCTAATTTTGCATGAGAGGACTAAACATATCGAGGTCGATTGTCATTTTGTTCATGATATGGTTACTAAAAGGCACGTCAAACTCATGCCGGTTCGTTCTCAGCATCAACTTGCAGTTCCCTTCACTAAAGCTTTGCCTTGTGTTACTTCGTTCTTTTTTTATGCAAGATGGCTATCAAGGATATTTACGGGGAGTATTAAGTTTGTTAACTTAAGTCTAATACTTGTAATAAGCGTAATAATGTTTTGATTAGTTTTAGTATTGCTGAGCTGGCATATAGTGGCTGTATAGTTTGTTATGATCAACAGAATTAGTTTTCACTGGTTTTACTTGTCTTCTTCTTTTCAGTTATTCAGGAGCTGTATATAAGCTTCTTTTGTATTCAGTTGATAACAAGAAATGAGATTAATCTTTTCTCAGTTTTCATTTTCTTCATCATAATACTTCTGGCCAAACTGAATGAAAGAACCAGCCACAATCACCAAATCAAGAGAGAAGCAATTGGTACTACGGTCTCAGCGCAAAAGAAATGAGAGAGAGGAAGCCAAGAACAAAACCACTGAGAAAACATGACAGGACACTCGAATTAATTGCAGAAGAAACCCAGACAAAATCCCCAATCAAAACAGGGGATAATCAGCAGAAGCAAGCAGAAGAAGCTTGCGCCAAAAAGATCAAAGGACCAAAACCAACTAAGGACTGAGAAAAACAAAGAAACTAAAAATGGAGGGCAAACTTTTAGCGGAGAAAAAAATGGAAGAACGGTGCAAGAAGATGGACATAAAAAAAATGAGGCTTAGGGCTTCATTAGAAACCAAACGACAAACAAAAACAAAGAGGCAAAGGCAAAAACGCAAAGCCACAGCACACGGCCTGGAAAAGACAAAAACGCCCCTAGACAAAAGCGAAGAAACAAAAGAGAGAGTAAGGGCAAAACGGAGAGAAAACCGCGCATTGTACAATGAATAGTGAAGTGTGTGTGTGAACATTAAAAATCTAGGTTTCCTTCAGAAAAAAGAAATGTGGCTTAGGGCTTCATTAGAAACCAAACGACAAACAAAAATAAAGAGGCAAAGGCAAAAACGCAAAGCCACAACACACGGCCTAGAAAAGACAAAAACGCCCCAGACAAAAGAGAGAGCAAGGGCAAAACGGAGAGAAAACCGCGCACTGTACAATGAATAGTGAAATGTGTGTGTGAACAGAAAAAATCTGGGTTTCCTTTAGTATATTTATATTATGGAAAAGGAGTTTAATACTCTTTTAAAGTGTGTAGATCTTAATTTTTACTCTTTACTCTTTATTAAAATATTTATTAGTCAAAGAAGTATTAATAAAGAAGAAAAGTTAAGAATCTAGACCCATTCAGCAATATTCTCATAAAAATAGTCCACCGCAAGACAGAGACGAATATAATTTAAAATCAATAAAAGAACATAGGAGTCAATATCATGACCAATAAATATGGCTTTCAGATAAGCTCCGAAGAAAGCAGATCAAAGGGCTCAGTTGACAAAGTTTTGGTTTTTGGTAGAAAACAGACGAATCTAGTGCTAATGTATTATACAATATTCTTATTAGGACAGAGAACCAAACGCAATATTGTAACAAAACTATACAATACTACACATTACAACATGATACAATATAATCTTATACCATATGACTAATACAACACCGCCGATACGACAATTAGGATATATAGCCACAGGCAAGCAAGCGTACAATACTTACAGCATACTAAGCCGCCGCCACCCACCCACCCCCAAAAAAAAAAGCAAAGAAAGAAAGGAAAACGCACAACACGTTAATCACATAAATGCTTGCTCAATATTGCAAAATCTTTTTGTGTAATCAAAATATTATCATACGCACTAACCTAATATCTATTATAATAACATAACGGGGACCATCAATCAAGGACTAAACAAGGCTGTCGTTAATCACCAGATCAAAAGGGCTTTGTCATTTGATCAATTTCCTTTGACAAAGCTGGTCTGAAAAGTGACAGGTTTGACAATCAACGATACTAAATGATCTCTGGTGACGCCGACTGAAGTACCAATCCCATCTCCATGCTGGAATATGTACTGAGCAGTCCTTGCCATGTTCAAACATATCCTCACCAAGCAATTTGGCAGAGAAATATTGTTCTTAGAGCTTATCTCCTTGTTCATCATTTTCCATGAATAGCTTGTCAATTCATTTATTTGATTTATTGCTTCTTCTTCAGATATGTTTTTCTCCACCATATAGCACTGCACGGCTTTCGCCACGTCGCCTCTTTTGCTCTCATCCTTTGATCAGATCATTTGGTGAAAAACAACAGTTAAAAGATTGGGAAAATTACAAGGAGGAAGCTAGACTAATTTATTATTACTTATTTTCACATATACTATACCTTTGAAGTGCCTAAATCATCACTAAGTCTAGTTATAAGGGATGACCAATAAATCAAATTAGAGCCATGGTTTATAACGCAATCAAGTGAGCTTTTCGATATGGAGAACTGATCTAGGAGTAAGATACAAGCGTGGACGATCCCCGCACGTCCACCGACCGAAATGCATGCATTTTCGAAGTATTCCTTAACAGTTGGTGTATATCCACCGTAAAACCACCTTGCTTCCACAAGATATGATCTACAAAGATTATACCACTGCAACAAAGGGGTTAAAAAAAAAAAAGAAAAAAAAAATATATGTGAAAAGGATAAGATATAGTCGGTCGGCATATATTAGCCTTCTTAGGTCTTTAGTACCTCTTCCTTGATATAGGGGGAAACATCCAAGCCATGAGTTTTAAGGACGTCATAGATCACATCGTTGCCAAACTTAAGCATGGCAAGATAGCATATTTTCATGTAAAGTGGAACATCCTTTATTGCCTCTATGTCCCATCTGCCGAAAAAAAAAAAGAAAAAGAAGAAGAACTGATATAATGAAGATAAGATAATTAATTGCAGATCTGCAGCCTACAAAATCATATCCTGATCATTTATAGTAATACTTCTTTACTGCATTTGTGAAGCACTCCAGCTCATCTAGGGACCCATACACGTCGTAGATGTCATCAATTGCTGTCAGTATGCAAACGAATTTCGTAACTCCTATCCTGCATTTGGACAAGTGAGGTTCAAACATGTTCCCCATGGTCCACAAATAATTTTCCATCAACCGATCTCTTGCAAACTCGAGATTTTCTTTGAAACCCAAGTCTCTCCACCAACTACAGTCGATAAAAATTCAGACATGTTAATACTAGTTCGCAGTATTCTGATGAAGTATGTATATATATTAAACCTGAAGTCTGTTAGTACTACCTTGCTAGCTCCTTGAGCTCTTTCTGATGCACAGATTGCACTAGATTGTAGTCTAACTTTGCTAACTCAAGGAGAGCCGGACTCTTTGCGGGGTCGAGCTCGTAGAGATCGATGAAGTTTCGAGATTCAACTCGCGGCACCCTCCAATACAGAGGAATTTCTAATGACTGTTGAACTTGCTTAGCTAAATAACTATCCATTCCCCCAGTTAAAGAATTTGTCAGCTTCTTTTTGGTGAAACTCTTGGCTTCCTCCAGAACATTTTCTCCTGGCATTCCAAGGTATGAGGCCTCGTACAAACTCAAAAGTCCCACCACGTCGCTGATTAAGCTCTTCAAGAATCTCCCATCATGACCTCTGAATCTGTCAAATATGTCTGTTTTACACCAAACAGATAAATGCGTTTTCAGATAACAACAAAGGCATCTACGGTAGGACCTAAATACACTATATCAATATATATATATATATATATTTTTTTTTTTTTCAGCCCCGTTCATTTCGCCAATTCAAGTTTAGAATTCGAGTTTTGCTACAGTAAAAAGCTCTCTAAAACAATCACATATAACTTTTTTACTACAGTAAAAAGCTCTCATATAAAGTCACATCTCAACTCGAATTAACGAAGTGAACGGGACGATCAGAAACGTGATATACGACCAATATATGAAACCCTACAGTTGCAAGATCCTATATTTCTATATGTATATTTGTAGAATTTTGCATTATTTATGTATACCTGAGCTAACTGATAACCCATGTTCTCTTAGAACACGAAATCTCAAAGCTGTCATGTAGAGATCATTACTTCTATTTTTGTCTTGATGAATCCTAGAAACAGCCTCTCTAATCTCATCTTCGAAGTGATATGCCAGTCCCAACCTCTGCATCGAATCAACAAGCTTCAGGAGAAGAAAATGGTCTTTTGTGGCCTTTAGTACTAACGCCTTAATAATTTTCTTCAACTCCTCTAGTCGGTCGGCATGTAACTCGTACTGCAATTTAAAAAAAAAAAACAAAAAGAAGTCATTGAGAATTCATAACTTATTATAAGAGGTTATAAATGTTAGTGCTCCTTAAATAAACTCACGGTGTATGGAGTATCAAGAGATTGGATGTGTTTGGTTTCCCAGATGGTAGGATGATAACGAGCAGATCGCCGTTGATTCACTTCTAAGTCACGTCGGACTTGATTTATTCTTGTTGTTGATAATCTCCGAATTAACGAGAGAAGAAAAGCTACGGGTGCAGACAAAACAGAAGCCATGCAAAGGAACATTTTGTCTCGTACACAACAAGACGAGATATGATATATGGTATTAGCTCTTATATATATAATACACGGAAGGCAAAACTTTTTATCAAAAGGCAAGTCAGTTTGAACATTGTTTAAGATATATTGAATTGGAGATAGAAACTACGGAAATAATGTCATCGGGTGTGACTTGGAGAGATTGCGTACAATATTGATTAACTGACCCACAATAAGATGTCTAAATTGATAATTAAAGATATCCTATAGAAAAAAGAATGAATAATGCTAGGTACATCAATTCAAATCTTAATTTTTGTATACTAAGTGATTTGGTATGTGAGTTGTCATCTTTTTATTTATAGATGCAATCTCTTATCATTAATTGATGCAGCAATGTTTTTGTCAATTTATCAATTCATCTCAAAACCTTAAGCAATTAGGAGGTGAGCTAACAATAGTTTTATTCTTTAACACTCTCTTTCAAGTGTAGACTGGACAATTGGCAATCGTATGGGTAAATTAATTAGAAAGCCCAGCACGTGAATATTTAAACTCGAGATATAAAGACCTAATACATGATGACAATTTAAATGGGGATAAAGAGTGCAATTATGGGGGTTTGAACTTATGAGCTCTTGTTCTGATACTATGTTAGTTTATCAATTCATCCTAAAAGCTTAAACTTTTGAGATGGATTGATAAACTAACAATTTTAAACACCTATCAATATAAAAATGACAATTCATATACCACATCAATTAGTATACAAGAGTTGAGATATCCAAATGATAAGCCCGAGTAATAGCCTCTCTAATCTCATCTTCCAAATGATATGCCAATCCCAACCTCTGCGGTGAATCAATAAGCTCCAAGAGAATAAAATGGTCTGTTGTGCTTTTATTATCCAGCTAGTCATTTGCTTCAATTCCTCTAATCGGCAAATGCAATCATGTAACTCGTACTGCAATAAAAAAATAATGAAAAAAAAAGTCTTCGGTATTCATGGTTTACAATAATTCTACGCAACATGATTAATGATATATGCAGGAGATATGCATATCTTATAAGCTCTTAAAATATAAACATGCGTGGCTGCGCTTTGTTTTTTCATTTATATACACAATTTGCAAGGAAATGATCTAGTGTTATATCCTTAATCCAACGTTGAGTTTATATGTGAATAATTATGTGTTGCGAGTTGTCAAATAAAGTTAAACTTAATTAAAAGTGATTTACTAAGGTTTTGGTATTTTGAGCTTTAATGTATCTAATAAGGTGTATGCCTTTAATGTGTAGAGATTTAAGAGTAATTTCTATTTTTATTATGGGCTAAAATAGAAATACCAACAAATAACAGGAAAATTATCAATAAATGACAGTTATGGTCCCCAGATCACACGTTACATTCCATTCATTATGACATCTCATCATCAGAGAGAGTACATAGAAAAAGTTAAAGGGTTCTCTAGGAAAACGTATTGATCTGGAAGACAAACTGCATGACTCTAGAGAGAATCAGTCAATATGGATTCAGGTACGCTTCCGCTTACAAATTTATTAATTCTTGATGATCTGAGATGAACATTCTTGACTTTTGGGTGATGTTTTTCATCAAATCATTAATTTCTAACAAGTGTTATCAGAGCTATTCATGTTGAATCGTGAATAAATTTGGATGAATTTTTGATGAATGTATTCATATTTTTTTTTAAATGTTATTTTTGGTTTAATATATATATATGTATATATGAAAAAGGGATTTTGATTGTTTATTGACCGGCGGCACTGTTCCGCCGCCGGCATAGAAGGATTTGGGTCGCAGCCGTAAGGCCGCGCTGGCAAGAACAGTTGCGGCCTGTTGGCCGCGGCAGTATAAGGAGAGCGGCGGCCATTGGCTGCCGCCAAAGAAGAAAAAAAAATTATTTCGAAGGTACCACGCCGGCGGCCGCTTCTGTCACTGCCGAAGCTACGTGAACACCAGTGGGGCTCCAGGTTGCGCCGGAGACAAAAGGCCGCGGCTGTAAGCCGCGACAGATGAACAGGCCGCACCCCGCCTTGTGTAAGCGGCGATAGATGAACGGGCGGCCGCCGGTCGGCGGCCGCACTAATCAGGGTCACAACATGATGTTGCGACCCCTAGGGCAGCAAGCATGGGCTTCAGCCCAGAGCTGCTGTAGATAAGCTTGGGCCCATTTGGGCCCGTAGCTGGAAGAGAAGGGGGGCTGCGGGCTTTGACCTGCAGCTCCAACCAAAAAAAAAAAGGCCTTCTGGCCATTATGGGAACCACGGGCCCAATTGGGCCAGTGGCTAAAGAAAGCCTGCAGCCATGTTAAAAAGATATTGGTATTTTTTTTTTTTTTTGGTGTTTTTGGTGCAATTTTAAATTCAGATATTGGTATGATTATATATATATTTTGAGATGAATTAATTAAATCAACATTCGCCAAAGTGACCTCTCTTGTGAAAATTAATTTGTTTTGGAATATAAACAGTTGTGTATATATAACTTATGTGAATATTGATCAGCCCAAAGAAAGGTCAATATTTAACAGAATTACATGTGCACCTGTGGTAATAAACGTGTGATAATTATTCAGTTTTACATGTGAACAATAAATCGGCCCAAAGAAAGATTTATTGTTTGGCGTGTTCTTATTATCAATGTTTGATTACTACACCAAGATATCACTTACAAGTTAACATTTTGTCCAAAGATGAAATGTTAATGGAGTACCCGGTATCTTGAGATTGGACTTACCTTTATTTGAATTTAATTTTTGTTTTGGGACTTATGTGAGGTTGTTTTGTTTGTTTGTTTGTTGTTGTCTGGATTCAGCTATGACTCTTGCTAATATTACTGTCAACATCAACTCTATTTCTATGCTAAATGGCTCTAACTTTAAGTCATGGTAAGAGAACCTCTTGATAGTTCTCGGAGTCATGGATCTCGACCTTGCGTTAAGGGTTGATTCCCTTCCACCTATTACATATAAGAGTACTTCTGATGACAAGAGGCATATGGAAAGGTGGGAGAAATCAAATCGCATGTGCATGATGATCATGAAGAAGGCCATTCCGGAAGCATTCAGGGGCACAATGTCTGATAAGATTACTACGGCTAAGGAGTTCCTTGCGGACATTGAAATGAGGTTTGTCAAAAATGAAAAGGCTGAAATATGTACGCTCTTGACAAGTTTAATTTCAATGAGGTATAGGGGCAAAGGCAACATCAGGGAGTACATCCTAGAGATGTCTCATCTTGCTTCAAAGTTGAAAGCACTTAAGCTTGAACTCTCTAAGGACTTGCTAGTGCATCTGGTTTTGATATTACTTCTGACACAGTTTAACCAGTTTAAGGTGAGCTACAATTGTCAGAAAGAGACTTGGTCTCTGAATAAGCTCATATCACACTGTGTTTAGGAAGAGGAAAGGCTGAAGCAAGATAAGACAAAAAGTGCTCACCTGGCCTCAACCTCTAAGGATAAGGACAAGGGAAAGAAAAGGAAGAAGGAAGTTGCAGATACAACACCTCAAAAGAAACAACAAATGAAACTGGTTGAACCGGAAGGTACAAGTTGTTACTCCTGTGGAGTTGAAGCGCATAAGAAGAAGCATTGCACCAACTATCATGCATGGCGTGCTAAGAAAGGTAAGCTTCTTAATTTGGTTTGTTCTGAGGTTAATTTAACTTCGGTATCTAGACACATGTGGTGGATAGATTCTGGTGCAACAACTCACATCAGTGTGTCTATGCAAGGTTGCCAGATTTGCCGAAAGCCAAGTGATGGTGAAAGATACATCTATATGGGCGATGGCAAGACGGTTCAAGTTGAAGCAATACGAAAATTTAGATTATTATTAAAAACTAGATTTTATTTGGATCTTGATGAGACATTTATTGTACCATTTTATATATTTTGATGTTTGTGTTAATTGTATAAAGGGGAAACAAACCAATAAAAGGAGATTTGAAGCCAACAGGACTTTGGACGTCTTAGAACTTATACATACGGACATTTGTGGGTCATTCCCGGCGGTTGCTTAGAATGGTCCGCAATATTTTATAATGTTCATAGACGATTTTTCTAGATATGGCCACATATATCTCATTCATGAAAAGTCACAGTCGCTGGATATGTTAAAAAATTATAAGGCTGAAGTTGAGAACCAACTCAGCAAAAGAATCAAAAGTGTCAGATCTAACAGTGGTGGTGAATACTTTGGTAGATATGACAGTTCAGGTGAACAACGTCCAGGGCCGTTTGCTAAGTTCCTAGAGGAATACGGTATCGTCCCACAGTACATTATGCCGGGTTCGTCCACTATGAATGGTGTTGCTGAAAGACGAAACAGGACGCTTAAGGACATGGTGAGGAGTATGATTTGTCATTCAACCTTACCAGAATCACTATGGGGAGAAGTGCTTAAGACTGCAGCATATATCCTTAACAGGATTCCAACTAAAGTGACTGTAAAAATCCCTTACGAGCTTTGGATGGGCAAGAAGCCTAGTTTAAAGCACTTGTGTGTTTGGGGATGTCCAGCTGAGGCAAGGCCTTACAGGCCTAATGAAAAGAAACTGGACTCAAGGACGGTGAGTTACTATTTTATTTGATACTCTGAAAGATCCAGGGAGTACAAGTTTTATGATCCCACGACTAAGTCAATTTTTGAGTCAAGAAATGCCCGGTTCTTTGAGGATGTCGAGTTTGCAGGAGGAGATACAGTTAGGGACTTTCTCTTCGAAGAGGAATATGTTGATATTCCCACATGTGCTATTGGCATTGATCAGGGTCTCATTCCTGACCTTGTTCAAGACAATGTCAGAGAACCTCCCATACAAGAAGTTGTTCCAGAGGAACAAACTCTACCACCTCAAAAACATATGCCATTAAGGAGGTCCACTAGAGAAAGGAGAAGTGCGGTGCTAGATGACTACATTGTATTTGTCCAAGAACATGAGGTAGATATTGGAGTGATGAAAGATGATCCGATTAACTTCTGTTAAACCATGGAAAGTTCTAACTC